GCAGTTTATCATGCTAAACCATCAATTAAGTATATAGAAAAAACGAGAATAAAACTCTTTCTGAGTACGCTATTAATTGATTGATCAATATCCAGAAGAAAAAACCTGAAGCTGTCTACTCATAGTTAAGAAGATTTCTGGTCCAGGTATAGGATTATTCATTGCCTGGGAATGGTATCTAAAAACTAAAACTCCCCAAACTCAAGTAGCAAAAATAATTGTTGAATTCTTAGAAGAAACAAAAACTTTACCAAAAGGTGCGATCTCAATAACAAGAACGCACAACACTTTGTCATTATAATACGAAACATGCCCCGTTTTCTCAAAACATTTTTCTTTTATCATTTAAAAACTCTATGCTCAAAAAAAAAAGTTATCAATGCCAACCTTTTAAGCTCTTTGTCGGTATCTGATTAGACAAAATTTTTTCTTTATCATTGATACCTATATGTAAGAACGAGTCGATCTGACTTCTAAGCACCTAGTGAAGGTATAGTGGGGGCTAATGGTCACTTAAAATCTCTGATCATTGAACCAAAATGAAACCCAAATAATCAAATATTTGGAAGAACACTCCCCGGCCATAAAACGCAGGTATGAGAAGAAAATGAACGTGTAGTGTGCGCGTTTTATCTTGCCGGTTGCGCTCCCTTGCATTATGGGCATATCACGTTGTGGAGCATCAAATCAGATTGTCCCGAAAGCGAACGCTTCAGCAGTATGAAGTGGGCCATAGTAATAGTTTTAATAGCGTCATAACTGCACGGAGACATGATCATGTAGCTGGGAGCCATATGCGAAATGCTTTTTGTCATTTTAAGAGTTCTAATATAAAGTGAAATGATCAGACACATTTACGATAATTGATACACCTTAATTTGTCGACGTCTTCCTTATTACTCTTTGCGACAGCGTACAGTACATTTACATATTTAGATCGATGGAAATAATTGGACCCAAAGCCATTCATGAGTATCCCTATACTTTGGTCGCTCTTCGATTGTTTTTCTCGAGAATTAGTTTTTTTGTTGGTGAAGGCCTTTTAGAATAAATGCAATAACGCCTTTTCTTCCGCATAGTTGTGAAATTTTATAACCACTTTGTCAAATTTTTATCAAACAACTTAAAATCTTTCCATAAGTGTATTATATTTGATGAGTATTTTCGCCTTTGATTTTATCGCTTGAACAAGCGATTGTGAGTTTTATAGGGGAGAAGTGAAAGCAAGCATTTTTGAATGATCTTTTTGTTTGCTTTTTTTTTTATAGAATATATCGATGTTGGAAAGATTTTATAATTTGATTTTTCCAAGACGAAATATAAGTGCGGGCTGCGGTTACCCACAACAGCATTTTTAGCTCACATGTTCAAATGTTCGCTTTGTCTGATTTTGTTGCAGTATGCCCATATATCAATTTTCGAAGCATACAAATTTCACTTTGTAAATTTATTTACAAGGCAACAAAGATTCCATTTAGGATAACTCGAAAGGCACTTGTTTACATAAAATTGGTGCAGTACTATATATTCAAAGGAGCTGGTTGACCAACGACTTACATTTTAATACGTTGTGGTAGATTGGCTATTTCTTCGTGTTCAACTATGGGCTTCAATACCAGCCGGCCAGCAAACAGTCCAGGCTTTCAAGTCCTATTGAAAATCTCTAGAGAGATGTCGAAAATTAATTAATACCACAAAATCAGCAGGACTTAAAACCGCTCTACGGTAGAGCTATTCCGAAAACGCATTAATTGATAGGAAATTTAATGAGGCGTCTATGTAAATCAGTTATTGAAAGTAATAGAGAAGAATCAAACAAGTGTATGAAATGCCATGATTCTTGCTGCACAGCGACGTAGTTGCTGGTAATTCCTTATTGTACATCACGAATAATAGAATAACATATTAATATCTTAATCTAATCTGGGCAAAATAGTGCTACGAATGACATAATGTCCCATCTCCATATCGATGCACATCAATGATGGCTATGAGAACTGATCCACGAAGATTCTATAGAGACTTTAAAATACTTTGATAGTATTACCGTCATATTATGTAATTTCGAACGCATGTGAAACAGCTTTCTGAATTCAATTAGGTAATAAGTAAACAATATGATTATCGAACATCAGCCTGTATCGCAACAAGACCCGACAATTTAGTTTATAAAAGTAATAGTATTGTTAATTATAAGAAGTTCCACTTCAGAGGACTAGTACGTATTAGTATTAGAACTTTTGGACTTTCTAAAAAATTAGCGGGAAGTCATTTAAATGACTCCTGTAAGAATTGGGGTACAAGTACTTTAAGCCTAGCTACTTTAGATCTGGCTGACTGTTTCACAAGGGCAATTAAATCGCGAAATTCATATGGGCTTGGCTGAATCAACGTAATTATTTTTACGTACATTAATTATATTATCGCACAATATCCAACAAATAAGTACGCACACGCAAGAGATGGAAAAAGACAGGCACACAATGAGGATAGTCGTGACACTGCATATAGTGATATTGACCTCATTTATCTATATTTACGATGATTGTTTATATCTATCGTAACCACGCACGCGGTTTAAGCCGTCTTTTGACCAGCCCAAATCAAGAAAGCGATGCAATAAGTGTAGTAGCTGTTTGCTATACAAGGCTATGAATCCGTCAAGGCTTGGCCTGCAGAACGGTTCATTCAATGGATAAAGAACACAGATTCTTCGCATTATCAGTGTGACATTCAAGGGTAAAGCTCCGAAGTCCTTTTCTGTATCTAACCCTTTTCTAGACATTCGTACAAAATGCAACTATCGCAAGACTTAAATATTTGGGGTAACATGTAATAGTAATACAAATTATTGTGTAGCACAGATTAATAAATATACATCAATTAGTGATAAAAAATAAGTGATTTGTAATGGATGATACGTCTTCTTAACGGCGATAGTACGATGGGTACGATGGGTATGATAACGAATTAGTCGATCTTCACTGGGAGATCTTACCCAACAGTCCACATTCTCGATTGCTGTAGTCGTACCAGGTACGTTAAATCTAAGAATTCAGCATACACTACATTAAAAGACGTATAAGCATAAACAGTTTAAATTTTGTTTATTTTCTCATGCTATATTAAGCGGCAAAAATGGACTTATGAAAGCTATTTATAGACAATAAATTTGCTTCCATTATTTGATATTTCCGTATGTGGTATTGAATTTAACATAAACCCCTTATTTAAAATTGACTTAATACTCGATTAAACCTTTTTTGCTCTATACTAGTTAAAAAAGCTAGTTCAAACTTTGTTGAAGGTTTCCATGTTTAGTTCAAGTTAGCGTTAAAAACTTACCAGCAAATTATCAATTTAGGTCCTCATCGAGTTAAAATTCTTGTGGTTGAGTACGTCATCTGTCACATCGAACGGTACTCAAGACGATACGATGACATATCCATCAAACTTTGGGGCCTAATAGAGTTATAGTCGCAATACGTTTGGTTAGTATTATTATATAATTACTTTAAGGAATTACAGACTTATGTATATAGTGTGTTGCACAATTGCGTGTCATTACATATCCTATTATCTATAAACACGCCCCAAATTATAAATATTCTGAAACAGCCAGGCTCTTGACTACTTAAAATTAATCTCGGCTTACACATATACTACAACAGTTATCTCAAGCATAAAGATTTTTAATGGTAATGGCTATGCAGGACCTTACTTTATAGCATTATCATGCGTGTATATGTTACATTAATAATACTAATACATACAGTATTCTAAATACATATTCTCAATACTTAATTAAACATCCGTTCTTCTAGTTTTAAGGTCACACTACAAACTTATTGGTTAGTGACTGTGAATTGCAGATCACTATAACTAACAGCAGAAAATAAAAATACTTAATATGCAATAAAACATTTAACAGAAATCACAGCACTTTAAGCTATTATTAAGGAATCCTTGTTTATGTGTTTGTTGTGGACACTATGGCATCTATTCATCCAATTTTTTACAAACCCCCCAACTTTTTAGAGCCCTGCGTTTACTTAAGACTAAAAAGCATATACATTTCCCAAAATTACATTGAGAATTCGTATGCTACGCTTAAGAAAACGCATCAACTCAGCAAGCATAGAGTTACCATGTAGACTATTAGATCTTTGTTTGCATTTCTGTGTACCAGTGTTCCCAATAAAGGGGACAATACATAATTTTTACAATCAACTACAACATCGTGAAACCCGAATATATTCTAGTTCTCCTTATTTCTTTGTTGCATGCATACTGTATGGTAACAGGCATTAATTATTTGCTAACAATATCCTCGACCTTGGCAATTTTTTCTGACGTCACGGCTTTGCAAGGACGTCCAAATCGAGCCTTGTCTTTAATTTCTTCTTCCCCGTCTTTGAATGCGTCAATTGTGCTGATAGACAATGCTTGTTCCCCTTCTACATTTACCAACTCCTCATGGATTTGAGTCGCATTTCTGCCATTTTTCCAAGAAGCGAAAATAAAGTATCGTTGGTTCTCACGGCTCATTTTCATCCAGTCGTTTTGCTATGGTTTACAAAAAAAAAACAATAAGATAATGAATTTCCATTTACTTTTTTTTTTCTTTTTTTTTCGTTTGTTACATGAAAATATACGCATTTGATGATTATTCTCATTTTTAGTTAAACTGATGCAATCTCTAGTTAGAGAGCCACACGCAAAAATTTTCAGCATCCCCACATGGTTAGCATTAGTTTAATAAAGATAACGCACTTTAAGATTATAATTAAAATAGAGTTACAGCAAAAATTTTCAGAAAAGACAATTTTAATAATTTATTCAAAAATTAGCGCGTTTTATACTTTTAATAAGTTAGCCCCGTTTTTCAACTCCTTTATATCACTAACACCAAAACATAGTATTGGTATCATATAATGACACAGTATCAATATTCAAATTATCCTTCATTGTGTATTTTAGCATTCTCATTGTTTCATAATCTAATCCACTACATTTATCCAATAAAACCTTATCCATCATTTTAAAAAACCTTATAACATCACGTGCATTTGCATCTTTTAGAAAGCTACAATTCCTAAACCCCACTTTACATAAAGACCCCTTTTTCTCTCTATAATCTTCTAAAGCCTCTATTATTTCTCCTATCCCAGTATATACTTCTCCAAAGAATGCTTCCCACAAACTATTCTGTATTGCCACGAATTTTGCTAATATTTTCACTTGTTCCCTGGTAATTCTCTTTACTTTGAGTACTTTGACTTCACGCATCATAAACAGAGTTTGATCCAACCGCATACATGACCAATACAAGGCAAAATTCCGAATCTCAAGACATTTAATTTTTGCAGCATCATTAACCAGCTTTTCTATCAAAAGTTTCCATAATTCGATTGTTGATACTCCGTGAAAATGCGTCAACGCCTCAATGATGTATGCATCGGACACATACTCGATAAATTTAATATAATTAATAAGCGGCGGCGAGGATTGGGTCGGAAATCTGAGACCCCGTGCGGTCAATCGTCGTTTCTCGTCCGCCGTAAAAGTAGAGACGCACACTTTAACCAAGTTTACTACTTTGTGCCTGGGAAGACGGTGAGCTATGTGAAATGGTTTGCGCCAGAGAATGTTAATATAGCCGAGGAATGATTGTCGATTAACGAGGATGCAAGAGTAAAGAGTGGGAGTGTCATCCTCGTCGATGTAGCTTGCAATTTTGAGGTAAAGTTCCAGCGGGAGGAGAGGAAACATGTCAACGAGTATGAGAAAGGAGATTAATGTGGATAGACTAAGGGATACGAATGTGACTCGAGAGGATTCACAACGGCAGAAAATTGTCAAAAACAAAAAAAAAAAAAAAGTCGATTGCGAGTAAGCGTAAACACTCAAATGAATGTGTTTATTCCAAAGATTATTTCATGTCGATACAGCAATTTTTTTTTCATTGCAGCGATTGTCGCTTTATCGCCGGCGTGTTGGTATTTGCTTGTCCGAGATCACGTGATATTAGGACTGACGGTCGGCCCGATAGTGGAACAAAAAAATTTTGTTCATTCCAGAGCATTGGATAATAGACTTAATGCCAACTTCGGGTTGACCTAAACTATATATACTTTTTTGTCTACAATAATGTATGATACAACGCATTATCAATATTTGAGTGATTTATTGGGTCCGAATTGTGCATTATTGCAACATATTTGTTGACACTACTTTGTAATCATTGTCTGTTCTGCATCATCCCAATTGTGTAATGGAACTTTATTTATCCGTTTAGTAAATGGGCGTGATTATAATTCCCCCCTTTGATACTGTTATGAACTATTTATAGTTACGACCAACCTCCGAAGTTGCCTGTTTAACAAACACTCCGAATATGTCGGCTTGAAAAAATTTTAAATATTGACTACGTAATATTATTAAATATACATAAAAGAAGGACTTTTTTATTAAAAAAGAAATTCCTTAAATCTATCCGTAATAATATAAAACAATATTTGTCCCTACTGGATGACGCAATTCACTTTACCCGCGCATGATACGTTGTGAAACATATTAACTGAGCGTTTAAGGGAGACATAAATTACGAAGGGGCGGGGGGAAACGAAGGACATACACAATCGATTAGATTAAATCGGAGAAAGATAGATAGCATTAAGAGTATGTGTAATGCAAATAAATATATAGCATATAGCATATAGCATATACATATAGCATATGATATAGTAGTGCATATGAAATATAGTATATGCCATAGCATATATCATTTCTACTATTGACTTTCATATTGAGCAACGACCATTATAAATACCTCTCAACCCACCACCAAACACTCAAACACCCTTTCGTCAACCGACTATTCCACAACCGCTACACTACACGTCCCTTCCACTCTCCGCCTCTGCGTACATTTTCTTCACAATGGTTTTAATAAACCAAGACATTCTGGCAGAAATAACCACCTACTTGGAAGACGATCCCTCAACACTGCACTCTCTTATGCTCACCTCGCGCACGTTCTGTCGGATAGCCGTTCCCCTCGCATACAAGAATCCCTTCCGTTTTGTCTCCACCGCTCACCTCGATCGCAAGCACTCTCTCATCTGCACATACCTTACCTGTCTCTCGGCCTCTGACAAAAAGTATTTCATCAAAATAGTAAAGATCATAAAAGATAGCAAACCAATGTTCAATTATGTAAGCTATCTAGAGCAGCTAGATTGTCTGATTGTATATGGAATACTGGCTACAAGTAGAATGCCTTGCTATCAGTGGAGACGGCTGGAGAAGATGTTTAGGATCTTGTTTGGTTTGTTGATTGCAGGAAGCAAAAGATTAAAGGGATTGAATTTTGTCGGACATTATTTAATGAACTCTACGATACAAGTAGAGCCACCAAATGGATTAAGAAGCATCAAGATACGATCACATAGAGCTCACAACGAGTGGATACATTCGTTAATCGCACGCCAAACTAACCTCATGAACTTTGAAATATGGTACGCGGACGATGAAATACTCAATATCCTTCGATTCCTTGCAACTCAACGCTCTTCTCTGCGTCGGATGTCGTTTGTTCACTGTACATTTATTCCGTGCGATCAGTTCCGTGTTCTACTGAACAACTTGGAGAAATTGAAAGAAGTACAATTTAAAGTATTCCCATTCGATTCAAGGAGGTTTCAGGATTTGATGATCGTATTGAGAAAGAGTATGGAAATCAAGGAGAGTACAACCGATAGGGTAGAGTTCATACCAAGAGGAAACGGGGAGAGAGAGATGACTGTTGTTGTAGAGAAGATGAGTGCTTGGAGTAGCTCGGATTGACAAAGGTTAATGAAGGTTGTAATCTGAAAGTGGTAATTGTTTTTTTGAAGGAGGTTAGAGGACAGTCTTTCTTTTATTGAATCGTTTGAGGTGGGAAGGGGGAAGAGGAGGTACGCAAGGAAAATATAATACAGTAGTCAATGACGAGGTTGGCAAGATCAAATAGCGCTAATTGTAATGTATTAATACGAACCGAAAGTGAACTTAGACTTCATAATAAAAGTTGTATAGACTCTGTGTAATTTGTTCGATAATTAAAAAGAAGAAAAAAACTTATATTTTAAACTATCGTAATGACAAGTCGATGTGAGTACAGTGCATCTATTTGATCATTCAGTCGACATACGCGTTCGCATAATGCAGACTATTATTTAGTCTTTTTTGGTAATCAATTTTTTTAATTCGTCAGATATTTAAGCATTCGTGCGCCGCCGATAAAAAAGATTTATGCAATGTGGGTTACAATGAAACTTATTAATATACCTGATACCGATACATCTTATCATGCAGTGCAGATCCAAATTCGGGAATTTAACAAAGTGACCCATGTTCCACTGTTAAGACATTGTTGTATTTTTACCAAACAATGGAAAAGTTCTTACGAGGGGGTTACAGATACGCCGTAATAATAATAACAAGTATTATTAATAGTTGTGTTTGTTTATTTATTATTATTATTAATTAATTAATTGTTCAAACTCCCCCCGAAACCCATATAAATAATACTGTAAAAAAACCTCATTGAATTTTTGAGTTGTGCAACAGTCTCATTATTAGAATACGTGTCCAAATTAGTTTTTTACTGAAATTTACCATGTGGTTTCGCCAAATGAAGCAAACCAAATCGTGTAATCATTGTCCCACCGTACTTGGAGTTTATTAGTTGTCCCACCGTACTTGGACGGGGCTCCGTTGAAAGAATACGTACGAGTCGAAATTCACTTACAACTGACAAAGTTTGGCGGCATATGCATCTTAATTAGATTAATCGAAAAAGAACAGAGAGAGGGAAACTAATCGGTCGCCCTTAACCCATTGCATTACAACAGAACTGTTTCGATCCCGTACCCATATCACAATCAACAAAGATCTGCACACACCAAAAGGAAAACTCTAACAATTATTACACATTCACACTATCCTACCGTTTGAATGCCCCAAGCTTCGAACTTGGAAGATTAGAAGTTTACCAACTTGCACGAGTTCCCAATTCCCAATTTCAAACAACGTACGGGACATGACTTTTAGCGTTAGGCGATTTTCAAGTCTGAAATTAAAAAAACTGTCTGTAGACAACACCTCGTGCCATCTTGTGTAGATTTAGATTATCTGGTGCGTATTTCTCATTCCAATTCGAGTCAAGTGTCACGCAGTAACGCTTGTAAATTTTAGTTAGGCCAGAATTTTATAGTTTTAACAATTACGAAATTAAAAGTTACGTGCTATTAAACTCTTGGTTTATTACAAAGTTTTTAGGTTTCTGCAAGATTCCGTCTTTTACATTCGATTCGATTGTCAGAAGCTTAAAACGTTGTCTTAACCATAACTGTAACCACTGGTTATTTTTTTAGTATTACCGAGGTGACGATTTCATTCACAAGTGAGAAAGCACAATTACTATTACTACCGAATTCTCTCCTACGGTCATTTGTTTTCTCTCTGATTGGCAAGAATCATTATACCAATGTTATACATGTATTATTTTGGCTTGTTTATTTGGAGAGCAAACACATGCTTACTAACCAGCATTCAAACCAATAATTACTTGGATTTCAATATTATTGTTTTTCTTGAATATTTGCTCGACAACAAGAACTATAAAGTTTGCAAACAATTCTGGATTTGTCCACAAGGTAAAAAATGTTACAGAAACATTTTGTTACAAAGTGGTTCGTTTCGCCGATTATCTTAAAGATGACTGCTTTTAAGCAATCTGAAAAATAAAATAAAATAAACTCTGTATTCGTTAACAGAACTTTCTCCAACAGGATTCCTAGATTAATCGATTTTAAGAATGTATTTTGTTGATATGCTTAACCAAATTAATAAAGCAGTTATCAATTCTCTAAGAATGCTTTAGTTTGCTGCTAATTTCGACGCGTCCCAGAGATGTGCGTTTAGAACAAACCCACCATATTTATTTCCCCAAGTTTTTGTTAGTCACGATAAACTCTTTAATCATTTTTACGAATTATTTTCCTCCGCAGCAGTCATATGATTGAAATCAGGAGAAGCGCGATAATACTGTAATGTTACTGAAGTTGGTACAATATCTATTTATTCTGTAGTCCCTATTCGAAGTTCAGATCTACACGAAGAAACAGGAAAATAATAGACCAGAACAATAGGAAAAAGTCTTGATAGAATATAGATTGTTTCCTCTTTTACTATATGTTTGGTTTAGCGAGCGATAATCACAAGTAACCCTATAAAGCTACTAACTGAGAAAGGAATTAACACATCAGTATGAGAATAGACTGATTCTCGGATGTTGTATTTATCACTGGTCGAGAGAGGGTCGCGGTCGTGGTTTACGATTATTCAATATATTAACATTAATATGCTCAAATACTAAAAGTGACTACGAAATTTACTGTGGAATAATTACAAGAGTAATCGCAACCTTCATGCATTTCTCGAACCTCGCAATACCCCAGAGTTGCTTGTGGTGAGCCATAAGCAATTTATATGTATTTGGAGGTCTGGTAATCTATGATGTATCTATTCATCCTCGATATGGTTATAGTTGATCAATTTTGCCCTAAAGATGGAAATGTCTGTACTAAACTTAAATTTTCTTTTAATCCATTTTAGTCGCTAATTCCCGTGTTAATATCACTGAAGAAAGATGATAAGCATGACTAGTTGATATCAACCTAAGAAGGACCCACGAAACCGAAATACATGTAGTAATACATTACGTGGTATGAAATGACTGAGAGTTAAATGCAAATGAATCAAATTCTTATTTGAGAAAGTTACAAACACCAGTCGAAATTTCGAAGCTATTTTTTTTTTCCAAATATTTACAAGTAGAAACTATCACTATTGAGAAACAACTTGATCTGAAGCTCATCGAATCATAAAGAGTCTACCGTACAAAAAAAGACTCAAATTTATGAAAGCAAGTACTGTACATACACGACAAAATAATAATAAAGATAAAGACCTAAAAATTATGTGGCGAGTTAAACAACAATCAGTAAAGTCGGTTTACAATTTCGAGTCAACTTGAATAGAGAAATAAATTTAAATACCACAGGCGAATTGACAGCAGGTGACGGATGCAGTCAGTGCATTAAATGCGGTTATTATCCATCTTTGACAGTTGTCCTAAAAGAAGTCAAATTCGTTGGACGATTCACTGTGCACATAATGTATAATTTGCATGTCATAAATAATACATTAACCATGCGTTGAATCTGCTGTCAATAACAAAATGAATCTTAGTAGAGGTTCATTGATCAATTTGTAAGATGAGAATACAATTTGTTTATGAATCCAAGAAAATAGAACGAAGTTTGAGACTTAGAACAGAAGAAAAAACATCACAAAATAATTCTACGATCCACCAGATCTATGAGAACATTAGATCATGAAACTACGATTGCGAAAGTTGCCATCATATATTTGTTGTGAAAACCCGTTATTCTCCATCGTATCGACCATACGTACCCATTCACGTCATTTAGTAGTTAAACTTTTTAAATTCGGTCCTCGCAGATTCAAACTTAATTCCAGGAATACCTTCGTATGCGCAATGGAGAAAGACAGAGGTTATCAAGAAAAACAGTCAAGACGTACATGATAAGATATCACGTGGATAAGTAACAGTAAAGATTCAAAACTCTTACCTTCAAACTTATTAGGTATATACTCTATAATAGCATCGGCCGAGTCCTTGTCTACGTAGTCGCCCTTAATCTTTTGCTTTCTAAATTTCTTTCCATGCTCTTCCCCCGGCCTTTCGACATATTCTTCGAGAACCGTGGGCTGATCTATCGTTTCTTTGCGCCTCCTTCTCACATGTTTACTCTCTACTTCCATATCTCCTTCATCGTTAATGTATGCATCATTCTTGGTGTCATCCTCGTCTAACATCTTCCACAACTTCTCTTGTGTCTGTTGACGCTTGCTCAATTCGAGGAGATCATCGATATTGTCTAACAAGCTTTCGCTTTTATTAACACGGGATCTCTTAGTTTGGCGACCGACTGGGGTTGATTCTCGTTTTCTAGAGCGTTTCGGTGTGGATTCTGAAGGGGAAGGAAGAAATTAGAGATCGTAAGAAGGTCGTTATACACTACCAGAGGTGGTAATTGAATGCGGGAGGACAGTTAAAACTACCGAACACTGAATTAGGCACACTGGAGAATATAGAAAGCATCTCAGCTGAGGACATTTTAGACTGTTGTGGTGCTCTTGTGGTAGATGACATGTTCGATCAAAAAAGAAACTTCCCGATACGAGAACAAAATCTATGAACGTACAAACTTTTGGGGATCAAAAATGTTGACGCCACGGTCCCCATTTGTTCTGTCTATTAATATTATTGTTGTTGTTGTTGTCCCCATTTGTTCTGTCTATTAATATTTATTATTATTGTTGTTGTTATTGTTGTTACGCTTGTCATCGTCATCTCGCATTTCTTTATATTATCATTTCTTTTGCTCTCACGCCCAAATAACTAAGGGGATTAAAACATTAATAGTTGTTGTCTGACAAAGAAAATAATAAGTAATACTCATTAATGGCTTTGGGTTAGGAAGATAATATCAAAAGAATCATAATTACAAATAATGATCACAACGTTTTCAACATGAAGCTAAGCACTGCTTGTTAAATTGTTAAGTAACAAAATGACAAAATAATGTTATTTGGTTTATTTTACAACACAAACTATTGCTATATAGTCTTTCAAAAAAAGGTCTGCTAAACCATAGCGCGTAACAAAAAATTGACATCTGTTTGCTTTACAATAACGTTATCGATAATAATAACGATGCATCCCGTATTGATATATGTTACTGTTAATAATATTTGATATTAAACCTATTGTCTACAATTATTAAAACAGACTCATACGTCGAATTAGTTTATAATTGATTACTTTTTGTCTGAAAATTTGTTGTTCTCCATTCTTGGATCGAAATGGCTAAGTTTAGAAGATGGACCCGAAGTTAGCGTAACATCTACACATAAATTAAGCGCAGGCTGGTCGCGTCTGTAATGAACGCGTGGGCGTATGACCAAACAAAAACACGAATTAGAGCTGTAAGTCCTAATTACTCACAACAACTATCACCGAGAGTCAAACTCATACAGTACGTGTAGTTCATAAGCAACAGAAATATAAATATTTACAGGAGTAACTCTGTCTCTTCATTAGCTCACTAAAAACGAGAGTCGATCTCACAAAGACGTACAGAATGTATTTGAACACAGTCTCAAGTCAAACATTTTATTATATGAAGTTTTATCCAGTCAGTATTATTTACACGCAGATAAGTCTTCCCGTCGGCATTAATAACATATAATTAATTATCACATGATCTTAACGCTTCCGCATAGGTAATCGATCAATATCTACGTGCAATATAATGAAGTAGTATTGGATAGTTGATTTAGGTATATAGACAATAACACATATAACTGAGTAGAAATCAGAATCTAATTAATTGATTGGCGAAAATCGATTATTCTTGGAAGTTGGAAACTTGACTTTCACAATCCGCAGTATTAAAAAAGTAGCGTGTCTTCTCCTGTTGTAAATTAAGAATACATTTTTATAAGCGTGACGTAGACCTACCTATTCACAAATGGGGCAGAGTGCAACAAAATCAGACAAAGTGAACATTTTACTATATGAACACCAAGTGGCTGGTGAGATTGTAAACTGACCAGTGTGACTGACGACGTTTTGAAAAAGTAATAGTGATGCTCATGCGTAACTTATGGACTTGTTAATCTTAACGTTAAATTTATCATGCCAAAATGTATGGTATGACTGAGATGAATATAATTATCTCTATAAAAATAAAATATATGAAGTCCACTATGGAACCAAAAAATTACAGCACAATTAGAAGCATTTTAAAGAAAGGACAGGATGAAAAAATTGCACCTTATGTTTTTAAATCAATGATACCCAAACTCTCCAGAAATATCTATAGATAAAGAAAAAATTACTTATGAAATTATCAAGAAAAAAAATAAAATAAAACCCAATAAACGAAAATTAACCCCAACTTATAATGAACCAAGAAAAAAACGAAAAATTGAAGAAACATAAGCAAATATGCTTTCTTTATTATCAATGAATAATTATCAACAAAAAGCCAGGCATTTATCTAAAGTAAAATTAACTACCATTTTCTTGACAGTTAGAATAATCAATTATATGGTAGAAAGTAACCCCAAAATTTCCTCAATCTTTAATTTACTTCCTTACTTTTAATCAGGATCATTTCTCTCTTTAACTTCAATTTGAGCAATTTCTGCTGAGAAGCTAGTGAGATAATTGTGTTTTTTTTTTTCATAATTTTCTATTCCATTTTGTTTTTTTTAATTGTTTTATTTAGTTCTTCCAATTCCTTGTTTTTCTTCTTCCTAGAAATTTTATCTGAAAAATCTTGCTTCTGTCTCTTATGTCAATCTTCAGCTATTTCCAAAGCTTCCAGGTGGGTTTCTACCTCTTCAGTTAGCTGATTTTTTCCTTCTCACAGCACATTTATGTGTCTTCATAAAAAGCATATATTTTTCTCTCATGAGCTTTTATAATCCAAAAGAGGAGTAGAACTAATCTCAGAAACACTTGCTTTCTGGTTTTTAACAAATTAATAAATTCAGTAAAAGCACTATTAGCACCAGCTGGGCTTTGACAACTCCAGGTCAAGCCGCTTCAAAGTGAAAATGTTGATATTTTGTAAACCATTCAATTTTAAGAACATGGAAGTATGATCTAAGTATTGAAAGCTTTTCTATTATTATAACACTAAGCTTTAGTTGTAATTGATTTTTTTACAACTTTAACAAATATGATCCACATAATCTACCATTGTTTTTCCATAATCAATCCAAAACTACCATAACATTTGAATTTAGTATGTCCAAGTACCATAAAATTTAATTAAATATTCTCAGAATAACCACAAATTACTAGATATAGGTAAGATCAAATGGTAACATTATTATTCTCTCCTTATCAGTAGTCTATAAATACTTTTCACCTTTATTCGATATTCTAGTGAGTGCCATGCTCGGGTCCATTAGGACCCTTGCCTATTATCTTGTCCTCATCGAGAACATAATTAATTTACTTGCATACCATTTCATCTTGAATACCAAATAAATGCACTTTATGTAGACTAAGATAATAACCCGTTGATTAGAATATAGAACGTGAACATTTTGCACTGTAATGAGCAGTCGCGTCAACACTACAATAATCAGCTTTACCTCTTTTTATAAATGTTCATTGACCATTCTTCTGCTAGTTTCGTATTTTTGTTGTAGTAATTTCTCTCTCTAACTTAGCCTTAACTAGATGTTCTTAGTATTTTTTCAACAAGTCTTTTGCCCTCTTCCTGACGAGCATTATACTGTAAGCCGTTCCGAAAATGTTGGGATGTGTCACGTAAATCCGTTCTACTCATGATTTGAACATAAGGCGTTAATCGGTGCCACAACTTGCGAAATGCATCATATTTTAACAATTTCCATGTGCTATCGTTTTCAATAAAATCACGATAGACCGGCTTGTAACTTGTTTCGGCTGGCAAAAGTGTAAGTGTTTAAGTAATTCGGTTGACGTTTCTACCAGGACTTGGAATCCGTGAATTTCAGCATAGTTTTCAAACATGGTTATTCTAATTTTCCATCGCGGCACTCGTTTAATATTACCATAAACACGTGGCATTATACCATTCGTTGCCAGGTGATTTCTGACGTTTTCCAAAGTGCGTGCGACCAATTCCTAACATATTGAGATACGTTTTCTGACAAAGTGGCGTATTACGATCTCAATAATAGAAAGTTCTTTTATTAGTACGTGTTTTCTTTTTTAAACGTCGGCTGGTAACTATTTCTCCACCATTCATCGCTTTCAGCTGGGCCATTAAAAATATATCTCGCTCGGATCTAGAAAGAGCTTGAAACGCCTCCCATAATTCAGCAAACTTTTCTCTGGGAATTATTTTTGAACCACCACAAACGCAGCCTAGCTCCAAGAAACGTATTGCTTTGTCATATTCGGTAGAGCCATTATATTCATTATTCTTCATACGGGTAATCCTATACAGTCGTACCCCTCTATAGTCACGCTGTCGGGAACAATGCAACTTTTGCTGGAAGTGTGCTTATAAAGAGGTTGTGACTATATAAAGGGTTTTTTCTATAAGTTTAATAGTAATTGGTTCTCAACATGGTGTGCTTATAAAGAGGTTTTTTATATGTGTGCTTATAGTGGGGGTGACTATAGAGGGGTACGACTGTATATAGTTTTAATAAGTATCTTTACTGGAGCGGGACTACTACTACATGAAAAACTTTTTTATCACTTAAAGAACAGCATAGCCTATTAAGTCATCAGCAAACAAACATGAAGAGGCATAGAAATATAAGACTAATATAGATAGGACAAAAAGCAATAACCATGATGAGATTCCATATCAATCTTTATTATGTTCTGAAACACGTGTCAGGAAATACTTCAATAGGTATTGCACTTAAACAGAATAATGCAAGAGTCGCTATTTTAAAGCAAACATCGTACATTTGTGAATGAGAAACCACTATTTCTTGAATTTAAAAAAATACAAGTATTCAGCCTGATTGTGCAAGGTTATATCAATGGAAGTAGTAATTGTGATTGTGCATACCACCTTCACATTCAACAATACCCCCAATGGATGTAATAATTTTAATATTACGCGTGGTTAAGTCACTCTTTATCAGTTCTTAGCTTTTTTGTTTGGACCACCCAGCACAGACGTTTCGTTCTGCGTTTGTGACAGACGAAGTTTGTTTTTGAGGTGTAACGAATTCATTCTGACGATATAGACAGTATTAGTATAGAATCAAAATTATTGTCAAACTATCTGGTCAAACTTATCACACCCATGTTGTCTCTGAATCTAATACTTTGGACATAATACTGTTGGTGATGTCACAATTCAGCAGAGCAGGAATCAAATGTGCTGCAGCAGCCTATGGTTGAGATTCTGCATATTAGTTATATAACCACAGCGATGTGTGTTGACAAGGTTTATGACATCCATCCTTATCAATTCAATGGTATCACATATCCCCAATCCATAACTCAAATGGCTCTGGAATCCTTGTATTTAATATTAAGAATGTTACACTTTCAAAGGTCTCTGTGCAGAATACCTTTGGAATGGGCTTGTTGTAATGTTTCAATTATGCTTCCTGAAATAA